TTCGAACCTGTATCCTATACGGAACAGTCATTTATCTTGACGTGCCTTTACCGGTAAATGTTTATTATAAAGAAAGCATTTACTTAAATATTTGTATCTATAAAATGAATGTATAAAGAGAAAAATGTTTTAAAATAATTGTCGGACTTTGTCCATCTCATAATGTGTGACGTCATATATATATATATATATATATATATATATATGAAAGACATTTTATTGTAATATATATATGTGTGTGTGTGTGCTGATTATATATAATATAAATATTGGTGCTAAATGTTTTTTACACTCGTCAGAAGTTTATAGACTGCTTCAGTTTTTCTTTTTTTTTACCATTTCACCCCAGGCAAGCCGGGAATACCACTAGCACGCAGGGTGTTTACAGAGAGTGACAGATAGAGAAAAGACTGGTTGTGAGGGGTCAGGGAAAAGGATAAAAGCTGAACGGGGTTCAAGAAAATAGAAAATGGCGATCCACGTTGCATTTAAATTGTTGGATATTTTAGTTATCAGGGAAGCAAGAAAATGGACGGAAGTTCCACAGGTAGGAAGTGCGAGAAAAGAAAATGTTGGTGTCGAACTGGCGGTTACTTTTATCTAATTTAACAATAAAAGGGTGGGACCTAAATGCCAATCTAGTAGCACGCTTAAATTCGTGTAGTTGGGGCACCAGGGGAAAAAAAAACTTTTCATAGCAGTTGCCATGAAAATATTTGTAGAAAAGACAGAGGGAAGCCACGTCACGTCGATGAGAAAGTGACTGTAGACGAGATGCCAGGTCAGGATTGATTAAATTGCAGAACCTTCTTTAAATAAAGGTAATAAATCCGTTGGTATATAATCCAAGTGGATCCTTGTAATATAAAATATTAAAACTGATCCACAAAAAGAGCTTAAGTATTATGGGGTAGTTTGGGATTTTATGGTTTACCACTATTACTATATATATATATATATATATATATATATATATAGTCGACTCTCCCGTCGAGTTCGACGTATGAGGATCAAGCAGATCAGTTCCTAGGAATCTGACTGCCCGACACCAGCACATGAGAATTGATTATAGTGGTGAAGGTTTCGTGCCGGACCATCCACACTTTTTGAAGGGCCGAATACAGAGACCTGGTGCACTACGTGCCACAAGGTCCCCAAACGACTCTCCGCAGGTTTTGAATTCAGAGTTGTCCTTCTCCTAGACCAGTTGCCATCCAAGGCTATAGAACCCAGTCTGTCCTGGATGGAGAAGAAGAGGATTCACACCTTTCCCAAGGGTATTAGCACGTAAGTGAATCTAATGGATTCGACTGGAATTCGAACTCGGCTCTCCGATTCCTCAAACCAAGCCATTACTCCACTGTGCCTCCTATATATAAACAGTTTCTATTTAATTCTATTTAAATTTTTATCGTATGATTCCAATTTTCGTATAAGGCGCTGTGTATCCGCAGTTCATGTTTGTGCTGTTGTTTTGTGCAAGTAATTTTTAGTCATTGTCAAGTACCGATGTGCTGCCTGAGTGGCAGGCAATATTCCTTTGTTCATAGGCGGATGATAGATAGATAGATAGATAGATAGATAGATAGATAGATAGATAATGAACAGACTGGGATAGTGTCTTCTCGATCATAAAATCCTTCCTAGGCAGTAATTAATGGCCAGTCCTCTGGTGCCATAGTGGTCAACGCAGGCGTCTACCCAGGGGTCACTTTTTTCTGATCTATATAAATGATCTGCCTAATAATATACTCAGATCGTTTGTAAACATCTACGCCGATGATACGACTTATATACGGGCGCACCTCGAAAACTCAATGCTCAGAGATTGGCGACTGATCTCCCTTCCGGGCTTTCACAAAGTACCCAGTGGGTTAAAAATTGGCTGGTTCCATTCAATGCCTCGAAGACCAAGCTACTTACGTTCCATCATCGCCGATCTGATCCCGCCAATCAGGATGTACGGTGGACCTCTTGGTGAAGCACCGTGCCTTGAAAGACTGTTAGGCCGTGAACTCACACCCGATCTCGTAGTACTCGTATATGCTAAGGATGCGGGTAAAATAGTCGGCTCCCTGTACCTGACTCCGCCTGCTATCATTTACCTTTACCAGATCAGGTCAAAAATGGCGTACTGTTGTCATATTTAGGCAGGAGCTTCTAAGACTTCACCCTACAGCTTTGATAGAGTTGAAAAGTGTCTCCGTCTTGTGGGTGACGAATTATTCTCCACCCTTCAACCTCTCTCTCTCTCTCTCTCTCTCAAATGCGGCATGTGGCAAAACCTCTCGCTGCTCTGCCGCTACTTCCAAAGAAAGTGCTCGGACGAGCTACATTCCCTGGTCCCATCAAGTTAAACCTTCAAGGCAAGAATACGCCATGCCACTTTCATGGTAGCGAACCGCCCACATTCCCTCCATACTCCATCGATGTGAAGTTCCACTTGAGCAGCTTCTTCCCATGAACCACTGCCCTGTGGAACCGGCTCCCAAGAGGATGTTCCCCCGATCACCACTATATTCTTAAGCTATTCAAGGTTAGGGTTAATCGTTATCCTCTCACCTATACGCACAAATGACCTCCTTATCTAACCCTCTACATTGAGTACCCGCCGGGCTGCCTTGTAAAGGGTGGCCCTCACTGTAATATATATATATATATATATATATATATATATATATATATATATATTATATATATATATTTCAATTACAAGGTGCAAATATAATTTATAAATTCATGAATCATTCATACAAAAAACAAATATAGAGGTTAATGATTTAAATGGCGAGAATACATCGTCGCAAAACAATATAAATAAGATACATCAACCCCGAACCTGTATATAAATGGTATGATCCTTCAGATATATATATATATATTACAGTGAGGGCCACCTTTACAAGGCCTGGCAGGTACTCAATATATATATATATATATATATATATATATATATATATATATATATATATACATTAAGAATTGGACAAATCAATCCTGAAATTTTCTATGAAAATTTTTCGGACATTCAAGCCGGTAAATGTTATTTAATACTGTTTATTATAAACAGAGCATTTACTTAAATACTTGTATCTATAAAAAGAATGTTAAACATAAAATGTCTTTAATATATATATATATATATATATATATATATATATATATATATTACATTCACTTACGGGCTACGGGAAAAATCTGCCTCATCTGTCATGTATCAAAAGATACATGATCGCCTAAGCATGTATCATGCATGGCACATAACTGACTGACTGACTTTCCAGTCGAATCCATTGCATTCACTTACGTGCTAATACCCTTGGGAAAGGTGTGAATCCTATTCTTCTTCCCCCAGCTATGGATAAATAGCAGGACAGACCGGGTTCTATAGCCTTGGATGGCAACTGGTCTACCGCAGAAAGAAATGGCAACCTACTGCGTAAAAAAAATCTGTCTCGTCAGTCATGTATCGAAAGATACATGATCGCCTAAGCGTGTATCATGCATGCCACATAACTGACTGACTGACTTTCCAGTCGAATCTATTATTATTATCAATACTTACGTGCTAATAACCTTGGGAAAGGTGTGAATCCTCTTCTTCTCCCTCCAGCTATGGGTAAATAGCAGGACAGACTGGGTTCTATAGCCTTGGACGGTAACTAGTCTAGGAGAAGGATAACTCTGAATTCAAACTCGGAGTGGATCCCCTAAGGCGGATGAACGGCACTTTGTGCTACCTTCCGGCAACTCCTGCAGCCACGCTGGTACCAAACTGTATTGTTCTATCCTCTCCTTTGGACTCTGCTAGCAAGAACGAGAGCGAGGACTAGACGTTCGGGCAGCCCTAGTTCTCCATATATCCCGCCCAGGCAAACCGCGCTTACTCGATCGTCTCTCGAGACGGACGGATGCCGACGACGATCCCTACCGTGCGCCGACAGCTTAGTGGTTAGAAGCTCTGACTGACACCAATTCAGTCGGGTTTCGATCCTAACCACACTGATGAGCTGTAAACAGCGAAACAGTTTGTCTGTGGATGACGTTATATATATATATATATATATATATATATAGGATTATTAAAATGAATAAACCCATTTCATTATGCAATATTTTAATAAGAAAAAGCAAAAAGAAAACTCCAGTTAAGTCACAAATATTCTACTCACAATCAACTTTTATTTCCTGTCTTAAAAGTGTTTAATGTGGCCACCACCTGCAGCACAGGCAACATCAATGCGATAAGAGAGTTACTCCTGACGCATATTAGCATATCATGATCCACTGAGTTGATCGCTGTTATTATTCGATGTTTAAGGACATCGAGGTTAGTGGGTAGCGGTGGAACATAAACGCTCCGACCTTCTTCAGGTGGTTGGAATGTCTGAAGAAGGCCGGAGCGTACAACGACCGAAACGTTGTAATACATATGGCGACAAAGATGAGGACAATCAGCCGAATAATGTAAAAAGTTTGTGTGTGCTTCGTTGTGTGTATCTATATATATATATATACATATTTGTGTTTACATGTGTATATATATATATATGTGTGTGTGTGTGTGTGTGCGTGTGTGTTTGAGGGTGTAGGTATGTGTGTGTGTGTGTGTGTGTGTGTGTGTGTGTGTGTGTGTGTGTGTGTGTGTGTGTGTGTTTGCATAAAGTGGCTCTACTAAAAATAACCGACATGGTCTGTTTGTTTAATTTTTGATCGTATGATTCAGATTTTCGTATGTGTTGTGTATACGCATTTCATGTTCGTGTTGTTGTCATTGTCAAGAACCGATGTAGCGTCTGTGTGGTCGTCAAGATTCCTTTGTTCACAGGCGGATAGATAGATAGATAGATAGATGGTAACAGACTGAGATAGATAGATAGATAGATAGATAGATAGATAGATAGATAGATAGATAGATAGATAGAAACAGGCTGAGATAGATAGATAGATAGATAGATAGATAGATAGATAGATAGATAGAAACAGACTGAGTAAACCATTTACAATTCAGCGTCAAATATCTAAAAGCAGTACATTTTTGTCCAGGAGAACCCTGAAACTCCCTGATTGTCCATTACACAATTAACCCCTAGCTTTTTCACCGTCAGTCTACATAATTTGTAATCTTTTTTTTTTTAATTACCAAATCGTTGAGAACTGAAATGTTAATACATCAAATTTGATTGATGTTTAATGAGAGAAGAAAAAGCTGAACTGCTGTAGGCGATGACTGCTGTGTCGATGCGAAGTTTTCCAGCCATGTTTCGTGAACACATATTTTTTATTCGTATAAAATTCAAAGCATTTTTTGAGTAACTATTTTTTCTAGTTTTCTGTGTTTTATATCCTATGCCTTTACCCATGTTGTCAAAATAAATAGATAAATAAATGAAAGAGGAAAAAAATAGTTGTTCATTATTATAAGTATTTATACAAAGCCGTGCATTGTTATCTGTTACTGTAATACTTGTCCTAATGAACAACATATAGTTTGTACTACTTTGCACCACTGAAGATGATCCTGGAAGAAGATCGAAAGTGCTTATTTTAAGACGAATATTTTCTATGAAAATTTCTCGGACATTCGGGCCGGTAAATGTTGTTTAATACTGTTTATTATAAACAGAGCATTTACTTAAATATTTGTATCTATAAAAAGAATGTATAAACATAAAAATGTCTTAAAATAATTGTCGGACTTTGTCCATTTCATAATATGCGACGTCATTTGTTTACATTTGATACGCCATGAACAGATATGAATGTATGTGAGAGATTCATAGAAGATTGAAGTTCACATACAGTAAATTCAACCTTGCTAACCGAACGTGCCTCTGTGGCCAAATCGGTAAAGGCACGTCAAGCTAAATGACGGTTCCGTATAGGGTACAGGTTCGAATCCTGTGAATATTTTCTGTGAAAATTTCTCAGACATTCAGGCCAGTAAATACTGTTTAATATAAACAGAGCATTTACTTAAATATTCTTATCTATAAACAGAATGTATAAACATAAAAATGTCTTTATATATATTGACCACTAATATTATCAATCTCTCTTTTTATATATTATATATATATATATATATATATATATATATATATATATATATAGCTCAATTAGGTTTTATTTAAATACTCATGAACACCTACTGTACCCTATTCACAACATACTTGTTGATAATTTAGTCAAAATGTAAATATATAATAAATATGAATCTTATTACCAATATTTTTTCGTTGGCATTTTGTTCTCAAATTTTTTTAATCAGCTTATTAAATACATATATATATATATATATATATATATATATATATATGCAGTGTACAATGGATAAATTGTCATCTAAATTATGCAAAAATGAAAATGAAACTGACATCTCGTTTTAACAGATATACTTATCAAAATTACAGAAAAATATCTTGAAATACTAAATGTAAATTTATTCAATAAAATCGCCATTGGCTTCAACCACGGCTTCGGAATCTCTTCAGGACGGTCTCCTTGTTTAATTTGGTGAATGTTGCCATAACCCTTGTCTTCAGTTCACCCTTGTTGGAGTTTTGTTAGTCTCTCGCCCAACTGCACCCCACACATAATAATGAAGTGGGGTTGCAGTCTGGGGAATTAGGTGGCGTAAAGTACATGGTCATTGAAATTGTCTGACAGCCATGATTGGGTTCTCCTGCTTGTGTAACATGGTGCAGTGTCCTGTTGACAGACATAGTGACTCGGGAAGACATATTTGACTCGGACAGCTCTACCTCCTCAAGGCACTTGATGCAGGCCTCAGATGAATGGATGGAGCCATAGCGTAGCCATCACTTGTGATCATCCCAAACACCTTTGTAATGACCATTAGACTCATCCAACTCTTTTCGAATCCTCTGCACTGTTCTCAGATTGATATCCAAACACTGAAATGTTCATATTGGAGCTTCGGAAGCGAATGCCAAATAGTACATCATGCCATTTCCATATTTCTAGCAGAGTAAATTGCGCCATGGTGCTCTTTTACTCACAGAAGGTGCCCAACTAAATCTGCTATACTGTGTCCTCGACAAAATCAAAAACAAACAATGCGCATGCGCGAAGTTAAAAATATAAAATGGCGACAACTAACCCATCGTATCCTGTTTATAAAGAATCAATATATCGATAAAATAGTTCTTTTCTTTTCGCCAATTTCGTTCATGGAGCATTAAGTTAACATAAAAAGTGTCTCATCTTCATGAAACTTCTCCCATGCAACATGTTTCCATCTTTGTCTTTGATATCTCACCTAATATGGATACTCACAAATGAACCTGAAAAGATGTTTCCGTTCGATCACTGAAGTTAAGCATCCTCAAGGCCGTTTCTGTACTAAGATGCGATACCAATTGAGAACACTGGGTATAAGTAAACTTCTAAAATCCGAAGTATTTCTCGGTTTTAAATAACCCCCAAAAAGAAAACAAAATAATCAACATTATCTAATGTCCATTTTGGTTTTCAGTTGTTTCATCTCAAGCGAAAATACACACATATCCATAAATCAGTCACACACTCTCTTTCTCTGACGCACACACAATTCACACACATACACTCACATACTCACCTAAACAGACACGTACATTTCACACACACACGCACAAAGATCACGCTCTCTATCACTCTCTTTCTCTCCCCGACACACAAAAAATCACACAGACACACTGACTTCAACACACACGCATACAGTGTTAAGAATTTTTTACGCTTCTGATATGGTTTCTTTATCGTGAATGGAAGATTCAACAAACCACTTGAATAATCCTGATTTCAATAAACCCCAAAGTTTTAAATTGTCATCTAAAATGGCGTAGGTTTGGAGATTTTTGGAAATTTCTCGACTGTTTCAATAATACGCGAATTGATAGCCCAAGAAAGTGCAGCTGTTTCGTCCAGTTCTACCCAAAAAAATTCGTATGAGGGCCCAACAGTTCACCCCCAAAAAGTCGAATGAGGACCCTACAGTTCTACCCAAAAAGAAATATGAGAGCCTAATAATTCTACACAGAAAAGTCGTATGAGGCCCCAACAGTTCTACCCTCAAAAGATCATATGACGGCCCAGCAATTCTAACCAAAAGAGATATATGAGGACCCAACATTTCTACCCCTAAAATTGTATGATAACCCTACAGTTCTACCCACTCCCCACAAAAAAAATGTATGAGACCCTCATAATTCTACACAAAAAAAGACGTATGAGGGCCCAATAGTTCAGCTTCTCGAAATGTATAGCCAGATTGCCCACACATATGATTTTCATTATCATGACGAAGACTTGCAAAGAACCATCCACTCTTTTCGGAAGAACTGAATACAGGGAATTGGTGCACATACTGAGCTACATTGTCTCCAAACAGCACTCTTCAGGTTTTAAATTCAGTTGTCTTTCTCCTAAACTGGTGGCTAGGGAGCCCAGTCTGTCATAATATTTAACCCATAGGGGGGAACATATGGATTTATAATTTTCTCAATATTTGTGCGAAAGCTAATTTAACTGGAACTCATTTCGTAGATTTCTTGTTCCGAGCCATTAAACACTAAACCAGCAAACATCCAAGGAATAGATAGGTTCACATTGCTCCTCGGTCTTTTGAACAGGAGGAGAGGTTTATCCCTTGTTCCCTGTTTAAGTTTCCGGTTATGTCTAAAGTCTACTTCGACTCCATACTTCTGAAGTTTCCGCTTAAACTTTGAAATTTTATTTACTATTCATTTATTTATTTTTGTTTTATACGCCTGAGTGAGAGTAGATAGGTTCGCCTGTCATCTGGTCCATTTTTTATCATCCTGGGTATGACGATAAACTACATCCGGCAGCAAGGCCTCTGATTGGGAGGTTTTCAGGATCGTGGAACGACCTCTTAATTGCTGTTGTTCACCTGTTCACCCTGACCCGGAATGATAGCACCTGTTAAGGTCCCAGCTATGGTCAAATAGTAACAAATCACTATAGATTTTTATTAAAAATAATACCATTAATACATACTTTTAAAAAGTAAAATATTACCAGCAATACATTTGACTCTAGACAAAAAAAAAAAAAAAAACTCTACACAAAAATACGTCAATAAAACCTGATATACAAACTGATTTCTTACAAAGAATACATATTCTACTCAAACGAACCTATCCTATAAATAACCCATTGAAATGTCGATATGTCGTAAAACGAAACAAAATAAATCAAATCGGTCTTTTGAACAGGAGTAGAGGTTTGTCTCTTGTTTCCTATTTAGGATTGGGTTTCCGGTTCCTAATAAATTATTTTCGTTCTCTTTCACTTCCAGTAGCCAACTGCGTCTTAGTGGTACTATCTCCTTGCTTGGGGTGAATTGATTAATATATTCAGCGTGTATCAAAAATACTTTTACAAGCATTGGGGGCAGCACCCTCATAGTAAAATAAGGACAAAAGTCCACATAAGCATATGTCCGCGAATCCTTCGTTTTTGAGATTAAAGAAACTTTACGATAGATGGCGTTGTGTTATCATGTAGACTAGGTTATATTTGTCATTCGTGTACATTTGTGGCTAGTCTGTCTTCAAGGTTTAACATGTGTAGTAGTGAGTTAACTGAGAAGTGTTCCGTGTAACAACGGCAGAATATTCATTTTGCGAGCAAGCGGATATGATTTTTATATACGGCCGCGCGAATGGTAATGGACGCGAGGCTGCACGGCTGTCTCAGATTGCGTTTCCAGGTCGAAGACAGGCGAATCATTCAACCTTTGCTTCTTTTGCTGAGACGGGATCCGTGGCACCACAAAATATGGATCGTGGAAGACCGCTCGTACGCCTGACCACGAAAAACATATTCTATAACTCTAGAAGCATACACACAACCCATACACCCAATTAAAATCAAAATTAAAACCATCTTTGATTATGGCTAAATGTATAGTCGAAAGCGCTCGGAATTATAGAATATTTGGACAGTTTATACACACTGTCTCCAGAAAAGAAAA